TCCCTCCCTCGTCTGTCCCCCATCCCCCGCGAGACGGGCCTGTGGCCTCCCTTCCCTTCTCTCTCGTGCCCCCCTCTCCCCCGCGAGACGGGCCTGTGGCCTCCCTTCCCTTCTCCCTGCCCCCTCCCCCGCGAGACGGGCCTGTGATTTCCCTTCCCTTGTCCCCCCTCCCCCGCCAGACGGGCCTGCGACCTCCCTTCCCTTCTTCCTCGTTTCCCCCGGGAGACGGGCCTGAGCCCTAGCCGCGCTCCAATCCCTCTGTCCCTCCCCCCATCCCTGTCTCCAGATGTCTCTCTTCCCCTCCTCCCCCTATCTCCAGATGTACGTGCCGTTACCTCCACTTTTTCCTGCCCATCTTAGAACGAGGCGGGCCTTTGAGATCTGCTGTTCCCATTGAGTTCTTTCCCAGGGCAAGAATTACCTCCGAATGCTGCTCCCCTCCGCTAAAGTTTGGCTGATCATCTCACTGTAATAGAGGGAGAGGGGTCTGTCAGGCCATTGCCCCCATTAACCTTCTCTTGCTTTCTCCCTCCCGGACTGCCCCGAGGGAATTGCCCCTGTAGGGGATCACTGCCCCTCCCCCCTCAATCCTGGCTCTGCTCCCTCACATTCCATACGGAAAGGGGGTGTGGTTATTGCTCCTTCCTGATCAACTCCTGAACTGACTGTGTATCATATCAGAATGACAAGGAGGGTGAGGTAATATCTTTTAATGGACCAACCTCTGTTGGTGAGAAAAACAAGCTTTCCAGCTTACACGGTGCTCTTCTTCAGGTTTGGGAAATGCAACAGAGAAGTGGGAGCCAGTGGAGGGATTCAGAGAGAGGGGTGACATGGTTCTGGCAATGAGCTAGGAACATTATCTTTGCAGCAGCATTCTGAATGGGTATGGGTGGGGGAAGATTGCATTTTTCAGTGTGGCTGGATAGGAAAGGCATATCTTAGAGATGTTATGGAGAAAGAATCCGCAATATTTAGGTATCTTTTGGATATGAGGACCTAGAGAAAGGTTCAAGTCAGGCTATGGGCCTGAGTGATAGGCAGGGGGGTGGTGGTGGTCAAAGTGATCAAGAAAGGAGGTGGTGAAATTTCCACGACTGAGGCATTAGCATTTCATGTTTTCCTGACCATGTCAGGTACGTTGTTTCTGTGAATTGTCTTACTAACCCCTGTACAGACTGAACATTGAAACTCAACAAGCTAACATGGTAAATTTGCTTAATCTACTTTAGGGTTTCAATGCTTGTGTTAATACACCTTTATTCCTAGGTTTCAGAGTAGCAGCCGTGTTAGTCTGTATCCGCAAAAAGAACAGGAGTACGTGTGGCACCTTAGAGACTAACAAATTTATTAGAGCATAAGCTTTCGTGGACTACAGCCCACTTCTTCCTAGTGTAGACATATCCCTAGCATAGATGGACCATCAACATTTTAAGCAATGTCATCTAATTGCTCAGAGCAAGGCTGATTGACAAGGTGCCTAAAAGGTTAGTAGATTCTGTGCGCTTCCCAGTGTTGTAAATGCTGGTGGAACTGAACTGGTATTGTTAATAGAAGAAATAGTCTGTCAGACCTTCTCTAGTGTAAACAAGGCTTATTGTAGGAGATAGCACTTGGCTAGCAGGAACTGTGCTCTGTGTCAGTCAAAATAGTGTTTTAATTGTAGCGTTTTCATGACGCAACTGTAACAAAGTCCCTATGGGAGGATTGTAAGACAAGAACGGTAGCAATGTGTGGAGAACTCTTGAATTTGAGGGAGGAATGTGGTGTGGTTTTTCTTCCTATCTCATCCTACAATTTAATACAGATTTTGCTATGAGATGCAATGAAAGGTTAAAGATATTCAGTAGTTTAATAAACAGCTGCTTTTCTTTCTAGGTCAAGGTTTATCAAAAACTCAGATTCATTTAAGCTTCATAAATTTGACACTGAGCGTTGTCTACATGTCACTTTTTTACTGAGATTAATAGTATGTTTCTGTGCCAAAATCAAAAATATTCAGTTACATTCATATCCCTATAGAAACTTCTCCCAAAATGAACAAAAAAAACCCCCACCACCAGAACTGAAACATCAGCTTCCCCAAGTCCTCTTTAAAGCCAATTTTAGGCACTTACAACTACCAAGGCTGTATCAGAAACAGCCAGGCATTTTATGTAACTAGACATTCCTTTCATGCACCAACAATTTGTTTAATTTGAGACAACTTTTTTGTTTTGGGTTCAAGACCAATAGTCTATCATGCATCTGGTTGTTAGATGACCTGTAAAAGCAGTGCTTCCCATGTTCACATAAAAGACATGAAACCTTTTTTACAAGATCTCTCCCCCCCCCCCCTTCTTTAACCAGGACTCCTTGTGAAACTAGAGTACAAGGTTATTTTAGTACTTAATTCAACATGGGCAGAGGTGGAGTGCTCAAGTTTTTAGAGCCCTGCACAGATAAAATTTATATCTGTGGATATAAATTGGTATGAGCGGAACCTGGTGGGCACCAGGCTCACCGGCAGCTGTCCCTGGTCTCGCTCTTGTGTTCATGCGGCGCGCATGCCCCCAGATGGGAGACACAGATAGCTGCATGGAAGGGCTCAGGGCGGGGCTGCAGGTGGTACAGCTGTGCCAGAGGAGCTACGGGCGCAGGGTGCTGGCTCCTGGAGCAGCGGTCCCACATTCGGCTCCTTTCACCGCTGCGGTTCCTGGGAGAGCCCTGTGGTTCCACGGATACCAATTTATATCCGCAGATATACGCATCCATGGATATAAATTTGTATATCCGCAAGGCTCTAAATTTTGTTTAAAACTTCTCTCAAATGTTTGTCAGTGTTTGAGTTGATAGACATGTCATGGGTCCACAGGATCAGTGCTATGGCCCAGCTTTTAAACAGTCTCTTGGAGGAACCCCTTCAGTAATGCAGACACCCAAAGGGTCTCACTCTTCCTTCAGGGTAGGCCACACATCCTCTCTGCCTCTGGGACTGAGCCTCTGGGCTCAAGCACTCTTACTCCATAGCATGAGCTCTGCCTAGCTTGTTCATTTCAGATAGACTCCTGATTAGAGAGACTGCGCTCTTCAGGGACTAATGCACCACAGCAAGTATTTTCAGTGACACCAGGCTGCGTTTTTAAAACAGTAGGGTTTAATAGTCAGCTAGAACACAGCATTTTAAGTCCTTAGGTTAGCATAGAGAAGGTAAGTTAAAAGACCTATTACTCTGGCTTGGCCAGATGGACTCCACCAGCCAAGCTGTAATATAGGGGTCGGCAACCTTTCAGAAGTGGTGTGCCGAGTCTTCATTTATTCGCTCTAATTTAAGGTTTCACATGCCAGTAATACATGTTAAGGGTTTTAGAAGGTCTCTTTCTATAAGTCTATAATATATAACTAAACTATTGTATGTAAAGTAAATGAGGCTTTAAAAATGTTTAAGAAGCTTCATTTAAAATTAAATTAAAATGCAGATCCCCCCCCCCCCTCCCCCGGACCGGTGGCCAGGACCCAGGCAGTGTGAGTGCCACTGAAAATCAGCTTGCGTGCCACCTTCGGCATGCGTGCCATAGGTTGCCTACCCCTGCTGTAGTAGATTCCACCTTAGGGCCTGTCTCTCTCTGACCCTTTGGAGAATGACAGGTGAAAACAGCCAGCATCTTCCAGAAGTCCACTCTTCATCCCCTGCTGGTCAGCTCCCACTCTTTTTGTCTCCAGGCAGGGCCATGCGGAGTTCACCCCACTTGCTGGAGCTTCCTGCTGTCAAGTGTAGATCATTCGGTCCTTGGGGCTTCCATTGTCTCTGGAGCCTCTGTTGATCTGTGTCAGTTTTAACCAATCCTTTAATAAGCCATTCATTCTGCACTTGTGTTTCCTGCACTGTTCCAGGATCAGCGTTGTCCCTTTTGCACCCACTGGGTAGCAATGGAAAGTGAGAAGGAAACTGAAGCACACATAGGTTTCGTAAAAATATTACAGAAAATTCTTACTTTTTCCACAAGGGATTTAAAAAAAATTAAAACATTCTAAAAATCCCTTCTCCCCTCAGCTGAAATGTCTTCACTTTTGACACTTTGAAGTAACTACCAGTCCCCAGATAGCCACGTTCTATCAAATACAAGGTAGAAAAGAGTTGTTGCTAATGTAAAAACAAAAGAGCACCCCACTTTATAACTTCAAAGAAAAATAGCCTTTGGGGACTTTGTGCCTTATTTTAGTTCGCTATGAGGTATAATCTTTTTCCTGTGTGTTCATTAGGTCTACAAACATGGAGCTTGGCAAATACAGCAATATCAATGAAGAGAAGGGACCCCTAATTTGTAAAGCAGGGGTTCTCAAACGTCATTGTACCACAACCCCATTCTGATAACACAAATTACTATGCAACCCTAGGAGGAGGGACCAAAGTCTGAGCCAGGGGGTGGGAAAGAGGCCAAAGCCCAAGAGCTTCAGCCCCAGGCGGGGGGCCAGAACCCTGACACCCAGGGCTGAATCCCTCGGGCTTCTGCTGTGGGCCATGGGCTTTGGCTTTGACCCCAGGCTTCTTCATTTTGGACAGTGACAATAGATGATTCAATTCCTATTTCTAGTCTGTTCCACTATTTCCATATTGTCCAAATGCAGCCCTGTTAGTATTGCAAACTAGAAGGGTTGGGGAGAAATGCTAAATTGAAACACACTTTCTCCAATATTTTTAAGTATTATTGGGGGAAAATACTTTAGGTTGTTTTGTGGGTTTTCTGCATCAGTTAATTTCTTTAACTCTTTGACCTGGGACAAAGCTAAAATTCATTGTATCTTTTTTCTAGATCTGCATTTTTATTTGAAGTACTTTATCTTTGTAAAGGGGGCTAGTGTCCTGAATCCTTTTGTGACAGGTATGTTGTTGGAGACTGCATGTAATCTTCCTCCTGGACCCTAGTGTACGCTTCAGAGTATTTTCCCCAATTGGAGGCACAGGGATCTCAAATGACTTTCACTAAAATGGTGCTTTTGTGAAGCTACTCTAATGTGTGAGCAGTAGTCCCTGCCCTGTGTGAAACTACAAAGACATCATGCAGCCTACTACTTGCCTTCCCAAATACTTCTAAGGAAAATTTATTTAGTCCCACAAATATATGTAGCTTCAACCCCAGAATAAAACATACACAATATTTAATGACCCCAGTAATACAATGTAGCCACCAAGTGACCTTTTTAGCTGTAGCCTCATTTTATCAGTTTTCTTTAACCTAATCCTGGCCCTGATGCAATAGCTTCTTGAGTGGACCCCAAGAAAACATTGCTGGTGGAAAAGAATGGAGAGAGCCCTTCCCACAGAGTAGTAGTAATGAAATCCTTAGGGCCCTCACAAGTTACAAACCAGACTACTAGAAAATTCTAGTAAAACTCCACTTGAAGATGTTCTCTTCTTAGTTATTAACCTAGGCACCAATTCTTCAAAAGTTATGCATGTGTGTAAATCTTACATACCATATGCATCCGAAGAAGTGGGCTGTAGTCCACGAAAGCTTATGCTCTAATAAATTTGTTAGTCTCTAAGGTGCCACAAGTACTCCTGTTCTTCTTTTTGCGGATACAGACTAACACGGCTGCTACTCTGAAACTTACATAC